TGCTGAACGACTGCACTTGCTGAGCAAGTCGTGCCAAGAAACCGGCTCTGCAGGATTGGGGCGTGCAGGGCAGGAGGCACCGGGGCAGGGAGGGCGCAGCCCGGGCAGGGCCAGGACCCGCAGCCCAGAGCCCCGCGGAGCTCAGCCGCTAGATGAGGCGGGGGTCAGCTTGGCACAGGGGGCCCTGAGAGTGCCCTGATCCCTTCCCCTGGTCTCCTGCATCCCCCGGGCCCCATGCCAGCTGCCCTGTGCCCAGCTGATCCACTCCCAGCCGGGCACCGAGGGAGCAGAGAGGGGGTGAGACCCCCCGGCGGTGCCAGCCCCGCGGCGGGGGTGCATTGGCAGTGCTGCTGCATCCCCAGCCTGCACGGGCGGGTGCCTTGAAAAAGCAGAAGAGCCTGGATCCCATTTTGCAAGCTCACCGCAAATTGCACGGACTCAGCACGGGGCCCAACCGTTATTCAGTATCTCCATGGTTTGTGGGGGTCAGACCCAGAACCCGTGACCTGCAGCCGGGGGCAGAGGACGAAACCGCCACACCTCAGAGCTCCCCCAGGGCTGGGCCTTCCCTGCAGCCGCTCCGTGCCTCAGTTTCCTCCGGCTACTGCGTGTGGACAAGGTGCACTGGGCACCTCCCTGCAGCCACGGGATGGTCTCCCCGCTGGTCTCCAGGCCCCTGGCACTGACGGGACCAAGCGCCCATCGGCCATGAGAGACCCATGGCTTTTCTCCTCCTCTGGGTCCTTCCAGGTCAGCTGCGAGATCCCTGGCCCAGGACCCGCCAGCACCATGAAGCCCTATGTGACCTACAAGCAGGTATGGCCCCAAGGGAGCTGAGCCCCGCAACTCCCGCTGGCACCAATCCTGGCATCAGAGGCCCCAATTGTGGCTTTGGGGGTCTCCACAAGAGCCCTGCCCCTGCCGGGGGGAGGGGGAGGAATTTTCCCACCCTCGTGACAGGGCTTGTACTTGTGCTCAAGGGTGCAAAATGCTGAGCCCGGGGCTTGGACGCAGGCCATGTTGCCCCCCAGCCCAGGCCAGGGGAAGGGGTTCAACCCCACTGCTGGGGAGGCGGTGTCCGGGCACCTCACTAGCTTGGGAAGTGCCAGGGGGGGTTGTTAGCTATTAACTGTTAGCCATTACCAGTTAACCATTAGCCATTAACTAACTGGTCACCACTAGCCATTAGCTGTTAGCCATTAGCCAGCGGGCAGAAGCCGGCAGGTGCCTTCTCCATGCCCAGGCTGCTTTACAAGGCAGAGCTCCTGGGTCCTCGTGGGGTGCAGGGCGCAGCCCTGAGCTCAGTCACCCTTGCCCAGAGTCGGCGATGCTGGTGCCCTGGGCACCCACAGGTCTGGTTCCCCCCGCAGCTGAACCCGCTGGACAAGCCGGAGGAGCAGCTGCCACCAGAGCAGGGGACCCTGCCTGCCCACAAGGTATGTCGCCCGGGGGGACTGGATGCCCGATCAACAGGTGCCTGGAGATGCCCACCTGGGCTGGGGCCTGGAGAGCCCCCACGTGCCCCCGATTGGGTCGGGGTGCCTGGGGCTGTCACTGAACTGGCTGTGTCCCCTTCCCTGCAGCGTGCCCGCTGGGCCGTGCTGGCTACCGTGCTGGCCGCCATGCTCCTGGCCGCGCTGTTCACCTACCCCCTGGTCTTCCTGGCTGGCTCCACACCGTCGCGGCAAGACAGAGTCCGGCAGGCCCCCGGCGACGCGTGCACTGACCCTTGCCGGTGAGCAACGGGCAGTTCTTGGACCCCCCGGCCCATGCCCACCGCGGGCACCGCCGGAGATGCTGATAGGGCTGTCCCTGCCAGGATCACGCTGGTCGAGAGCATCCCCGAGGGGCTGACATACGGCAGTGCCGTGCCCTCCCACCCCTCCACCTTCCAGACCTGGCTGGAGCTGATTGGGGGCGCACAGAGCAGCCTGGACATCGCCTCCTTCTACTGGACCCTGACCAATGCCGACACGCACACACGGGAGCCCTCGGCCCAGCAGGTGAGTGGGGGACGGGACCCCACCCCGGCCTGGAGCTCGGACCGATGCCCCACGGAGCTTGCACATGCCACGGCCCCAGGGAGGGGTGGTGCTGGCCTCAAGACCGGCTTTGGTGGCTGATGGAGGCTTTTGGCACAGGGTGAGCAGATCCTGGCCGAGCTGACGCAGCTGCCCCAGCGCGGGGTGGCCGTGCGGGTGGCCGTCAGCACCCCCAAAGCCAAGCAGCCCTTGGATGACCTGGAGGCGCTGGAGCGAAGTGGTGAGGACCCGCAGCCCCACGTGTGCCTGAGCGTGTGCATGAACCTGTGTGTGTGTGCGTGCGCATCTGCGCCTGCATCTGCACGCATGTGTAAACATCTGTGCATGTGCACGGATGTGAGTGCGCCTCTGTGTGTGCATGTCTGTGTGTGTGCATAGCTGAGTGTATGTGTGCATGTGTGGGCACAGCTGTGCATGTGTGTCCATGTGTGCGTACCTCTAAGTACGTGTCAGCGTGCACATCTGTGCGTGCATGTACCTGCACACATGCATTCTGTGGGGGGGGGGGTGTGCCCAGCTGTGCATGATGTACCCTCCCCCATGGGTTCTTGGGGGGGGGGGGGTGTGCACAGCTGTGCATGTGTCTATATGTGTACATGTGTGCACACAGCTGTGCATTCATGTATGTGTGGCACATTTCTGCATGCATGTACATGTGTGTGCGCATTTGTGCATCCATGTACATGTGCCCATCTATGCGTGCATGGGTATGTGCACTTATTTGCATGTACATGCACGGACACATCTGTGCATGCATGTACATGTCTCTGCATTTGTGTACGTGTGTGTGCATGTGTGTGTACATGTGCACCTTTGTGCGGTTGTGCACACATCTCGGTGTGCGTGTCCATGTCTGGGCACGTGTGCGCATGCACGTGCAACTCTGTGCTGTCTGTCGCCGCCCAGGCGCCGCGGTGCGCAAGGTGGACCTGCCTCGGCTCACCAAGGGCGTGCTGCACACCAAGTTCTGGGTGGTCGACGGCGCACACATCTACCTGGGCAGCGCCAACATGGACTGGCGGTCGCTCACCCAGGTACCCAGGACGGGGTGGGGGTCACTCAGGGCATGACTCGGAGCCAGCGTGGGGCGGGGGGGGAGCATCCTGCTGCCCCTGACAGGTGCCCATGCCCCTCTCTCCCCCCCCAGGTGAAGGAGCTGGGTGCAGCCGTCTACAACTGCAGCTGCTTGGCCCGGGACCTGGGCAAGGTGTTCGAGGCCTACTGGGCCTTGGGGGTGCCCGACGCCACCATCCCGGAGCCGTGGCCCGACAGCTACTCCACCATCTACAATGTGGAGACGCCGCTGCAGCTGCAGCTCAACGGCACACCAGCTAGCGTCTACCTCTCCGTGAGTGGGGGGCCTGGGAGGGCCTGAAGGGAGGGGGTTAATGCCCCCCCAGCCGCAGCCTTGACCCCCTCCCCTGTTCTGTGCCATTCCCACCCAGAGCTCGCCTCCGGCTCTGTGCGCCCGTGGCCGGACCGAGGACCTGCGGGCGCTGCTCACCGTCATCGACACTGCCACGGACTTCGTGCACATCGCCGTGATGAGCTACCTGCCCACCATGGAGTTCTCCCGGCCCAAGAGGTGATGCTGAGAGCTGCTGGGCGGAGGACAGTCCTGCACGGGCCTTCGGACTCCTGGGCTCCCTGGCTTGGCCTGCACTGTCCTGGGGGCTGTTGGGGAGGGGGCACCACGGGCAGGGGCAGGTCTCCCCCGTGCCATCCGTGTTCCCTGCCCGGAGCCCGCGGGGAAGCTAATAAAGCTGGGTGGGATGCCGGAGAAGAGCTGGACCCCCCGAAAGCACCCAAGTGCCCTGACCCCGCCACCCCCCTGCCCCAGGTTTTGGCCAGCCATCGACAACCACCTGCGCCGTGCCGCCTACGAGCGCGGTGTCAGCGTCCGGCTCCTGGTCAGCTGCTGGTCGCACTCAAAGCCGCCCATGTTCCCCTTCCTCAAGTCCCTGGCGGCTCTGCAGGACAACAGGACGCGGTACAGCGTGGAGGTGGTAAGTCCCACCCAGGCCCGCCGGCACCGGCTGGGCGGCGTTTGGGGGGGGCCTTGCACCCCAGGTGTGGCGGGGGGGGGGGGGGGGGGGGAGCGGGGGCGG